GACATCATCTCCCTTTTACCCCTCCCCCAACCCACCCCCTGAAACCCTGATTCTACTTGCTATGTCTACGTGTTCATCAATCCTGGGTTTCATATACACGGAAGAACAGGAAAACATATAGCACAACTTCAAGGGGGTGATCCCCAAAGACATAACACTTCTGAGATTAAACCCTAATATGAACAGCAAGAACAAAACAAAACAAAAATACAGAAAATGGTGAAAACTAGACCAGGTCCAGTCTGCATCAGAGGGGGATCAACTGACAAAGTTGTAACTATTCAGAACAGATTTATCCTTTTGCTCTTCTGTGCCCATCTCTCCAGCGCACTGTGTGCCGCACGCCTGTCCTACAACCGGAAACCCTATAGACGGTCCCTGTGAATCAGGGTCAACACAATGGCAGGAGGTTTGGGTTTTAGTGAGGTGAGGGGATCATAGAAAAGCTCAGAGTACCGTTTCCCCCTTTCCCCTATAGAACACAGGTTATCAGGAGAGACTGGACCCTGGGAAAGCATGTCCTGCTCAGTAAAGCAAAGGGCCAGAGAAAGACAGGAAGGGCTTCGTCTGGATCGAGTGGCACTCTGGCTACAACAATGGGTCCAAACATGACAACAACTGTGAAAATGACACAAAACCAGATAGTGTTTCGTTGTATTGTACCTGGGGTTACTGTGAATTAGGTCTGATTTGGCAGCACCTACTAATACCACACAACAGCATATTGATAAATGAGGTTTTCGCTCAGAAGAAAGAAGAGGCTGGTCCAGGTGGGCAGAAAAGTCAAACAAAGGAATAGGAAGGGCAGGTTTGGTAGCATAAAAGAAATCTCATCTCTCACCTCCTGGATTCACCCACTCACCAGTCCCTGCCCACCAGAGAAGGGGTTTAGCTTAGGCTTTAATTGTCATCCACGTTCCTTTCAAAAACATGAGCAGAAAGTATCATTCCCACCACCTTCTTGGGTTCCAGTCCACAGTTGGCCCTTCACAGGGTCTCCTCTTTCAAGTAAATGGTATATTTAAGCAACTGGAATATTATACTCCAGACATGAAAGTCGAGAGTCTTCCAAGATGACACAGAATCACTGTTTAAAAGATTCATCAAAGTTCTTGTTATCGGTAAGCTCTGTTCTTTTCACGTATCAATGTCACACCACTCTTAGAGAATGTGCTACAACCAGGTCAAGACAATGTCCTCAAAGAAAGTGTAGCTATCTTACCGGGAGGAGTTATCAATTGCCAGTGAGACAGACCTTGAATGGTGCAAACACTTTGAACACAACTACTAACCAGAAGATTGGTGGGTCAACCCCACCCAACAGTGCTGGGGGAACTCCTGGCCATCAACATCTGTAAAGATGATAGTCAAGAAAGTCCTAGAAACTCCAAACCAAGCTCACAGTCAAAGAGTTGGTTCTGACTCAGAGCAGCCCTACAGGACAGGGTAGAACTGCTCCTGTGGATTTCCAAGACTGGAGTAGAAAGTAGGGAGTAGAAAGCCTCGTCTTTCTCTCAAGGAGAGACTGATGATTTCTAACTGCTGACCTTGTGGTTAGCAGCCCAATGAGTAACCAAAACTGCCAGGACCCCTTAGATGGAGCAGTTCTATTCTGTGTACATGGGGTCACCATAAGTCAGAATGGATTTGGTGACCACAGATGTGGTTTCAGTTTGCTTTGGTCAAGCCCAACCCATGGCAACGTGTGTGACAGTGTAGAACAGTGCAGCACAGGGTTTTCAATGGCTAGTGTTTTCAGAAGCGGAATGTAAAATATTTCTTCCAAGTGGACTCAAGCCTCCAACCTTGCAGTTGCCATAAACCAAGAATGTTAGTCATTTGCATCAAGATACCCCATGCCACCAAGTGGATTCCGAGGCACAGAGATCCTACAGGACAGAGCAGAACTGCTCCTTTGGGTTCCTGAGACTGTAATCATTTACAGACAGCCTCCTCTAGTGGCCCAACACTTAACTCACTTACATCAGGACACCTTTGAAGCATATTAGTCTAAAATAAACCGTGCTGTAGTTGGGGGGGGGACCCTTTGGGGATCCACTTTGACTCAAAAATGGCTCTACTGGAAATATGTATCAAACTAGTGAGGGGAAAGTGTACAAGAACCTTAAACTAGAAGTCATGAGAAGAATGGACATTCCCAATGGGACATCCCCCTTGTAAAACAGAGGTGTCTGCCTCAGAAGGGATGTCCTGATCAAAGTTAGAACCCATCTGCCAAAAAAAAGTTTCCAAAAAATCTGCCCTAGATGGATGGAGGTTGGCCCAAATCATCACTAGGTCCTATTCTTAACCACCTCCATGTCATTAAAACCCAGAAGACAAGAAGGGAGGGCAGAAAGTTGTACTCAGCACCCACCTTACACCATCCTCCTGAAAATGGGGGTCTTCCAGAGCAGGGATGATGCCAACACCCCAAACAAAACACAGAATGGGTTCCCCTTCCCATCCCTGTCTTCCTTCCACTTTCCTGCTACTTCTGTAATTTTCAGACCATCTCTAGAGAGATGCTAAGTCTGAAAAGGAATTCATGATTTGCTGGAAATAGTTCCAGAACCTGTAAGTCGATGACAAGGCAACTACCCTTTCTTCCATTTCTCTTGATTCTGCAACTAGATATAACGATGCCTGGCTAATCTCTGGTGCATACCAAAGCAGGAAATACTTTAAAATTCTCAAAACTCACTGCCACTGAATCGATTTCAACTCATAGTGACCCAATCGCACAAGGTAGAACTGCTCCGATGGGATTCTGAGACTGCAGCTCTTCAGAGCAGTAGAAACCCTTGACTGTCTCCTGCACAGCAGTGGGTGATTTTAAATGACTGGCCTTGAAGTTCCCAGTCCAATGTGTAACCAATAAGCCACCACAATTATCTCTATTTAAAACAATATGATATTGAAATGCTTATTGATGATAGAGGGATAAAGAGGATGATGCTTCCTTAAAGAATTGCAAATACAAATACTTTCATATTCTGAAATTTCTCTACTTGGTATATACTTTAAAGAAATGAAGATCAAAACACAGACATCTGCACACCCAGATTTATTACAGCAATTTTTATAATAACAAAGAGACGGCATCAATCAAAAACCTTGTCTGCAGAGGAACAGGTCAACAAACTCTGGTACAGTCACAGAATGGAATATCACGCATCCTTACAGAGCTATATGAGGCTGTCAAACCTTAAGACGTGGACAAAATGAGGGAATGTCATGCTCAGCAAAGCCATTCAACCATCATTACACATGAAAACAAAACAAACATGGTCTTCACCGCAAAGGAAAAGCCTTTAATGACTATCAAGATGCCAGGATGGGGCAGGGCAGGGGGGAGGCGAGGGAGTTTGTGGAGAGGGAAGAGGCAGGAAGGTGAGGAGGAAGGAGGTGGGGAAGAACCAGAAGAAGCACAGCGACAGAGGGCTCCCGCGTCCTTGTCGCCGATGGGAGGAGATGGGCTCTGTAACTACACAGGACATCTTCTCTGTATGTATTACACGCCACAAACAGAAGGGGGCCTACAACTACATCTAAACGAAACCAAAGTACCCCAGAGAGCGGGAGAGGGCGGATGACAGCCTGTAAACCCCCTGCAGATTCCTTACCCATCAGACTTACACATGGGCCTGAGAGGCTCAAGGAGGTAAAGGAAAAGGGAAGGTGACTTGCCTTCTTTTGTGGCATGCAAATTAGTTTGAAAAATCAAAGCTTCTGGAAAGTGAAAGGTGAAAGATCATGGCCTTTTAAAAAAAAATCATTTTATTGGGGGCTCGGACAACTCTAATCACAACCCATACATCCATCCACCGTGTCAAGCACCTTTGTACATTTGGTGCCATCATCATTCTCAAAACATTTTCTTTCTACGTAAGCCCTTGGTCTCAGCTCCTCATTTTTTCCATCCTCCCTGCCCCACTCCCTCATGAACCCTTGATAATTTATAAATTATTATTATTTTGTCATATCTTATACTGTCCGATGTCTCCCTTCACTCACTCTTCTGTGGTCCGTGCCCCAGAGAAGAGGTTATATGTAGATCCTTGTGATCGGTTTTCCCTTTCCACCCCACCTTCCCTCCACCCTCCCGGTATCGCCACTCTCACCACTGGCCCTGAGGGGTCCATCTGTCCTGCATGATCATGGACTGTTGCCACTCCTTTGTGAGCCCTTCATTTAGGGAACCCTGGAACAGCAGTTTAAACTGCCTGGGCCCACTTACGGGCAGATGTCTGTTTCCTGTGAGTGTTACAGTGTACTCAGGGGTTGTGAGTATTCCCTTCAACGGTCATTCCCCATCTCTGCATGAGCACATCGTCTCCATGAGCCCTGACTCAGAGACAAACGGCTCACATGGCACGATTAATGGTGTTTTCATCAGATGCTCACCACACCGGGTCTCACATGAGCAACAACAGAAAAGAACACCTGCCTAGGATTGGGGTGCTTGTGGACACTATGACCTGCCAGAAGAACACGCATCTATCTTGGAAGAAGTACAACCAGAATGCCCCTTAGAAGTAGGGATGGGGAGACTTCGTCTCACTGGCTTTGGACCCGTGACCAGGAGAGACGAGTACCCGGGAAAGGGCACCATACTTCGTAAGGTCGAGGAGCAGCGAAAAGGAGACCCTCAGTGTGATGAACTGACATAATGGCTACCAGGCTTGGCTCATTCCAGTGATCACAGTAACTGTGAGGATGGCACAGGACCGGCAGTGTTTTATTCTATGGTACTGTGGGGATGCTTTGCGTCAGAGCCAACGCGAGGACATCTAACAACAGCATCATCAATGGGCGTGTGCTGTTCAAATCCGTGTTGTTCGTAGGCCATTGTAAATTACACAGGGATTTTCAATTCCACAGGAGGGCGACACTCCTAACCTCAGGTTGTTCGGGTGTTGGCTGTATATAGATATCTATGCGTGCAGAGATGCCTGTATATGCACGTTTTCAAAACAAGTGGCCACGCTCCTACTTACCTCTGATGGTTTCGTGGTGCATTTCCCTTTTCCAGAACACTCCACCTCATTTGCATGGTTTTCCCCAGGGGCACAGGTGCTGAGCTTCACCACCAGGGTTAGGCGCAGAGCCACAATGCTCTTAGTCACAGAATCATTCACAAAACCTACAGAAAACATGATGATAGGAAACGTAAAATAACAGTTTACCAGCCATCTTCCAAAAGAAGCACAGGATTTAGAGATTGAGCAGCACTCAAATCTGGGAGGCACAACAAGAAGCAATAGAGCAAAGGAATCCAATTGGTGTCCAATTGCATCTAAGGCCATAAAACAGGCCAGTCTTCCCAAGCGATTGGGGGAACATCCCGCTCCCGAGAAAGGATACCAGAGTCTTCTGCCATCATCTTGTCGCCGTTCACTTTGCCTCTGCCCTTGCTTGGTACCCCTCAATTCTATCCTTGGACATGTACCTTAGGGTCTGATTTCCCTGCTCTCAAACCACATCATCTCCTGCATCTTCCAGCTCGCCCTTGCCTGACTACTTGGATAGCTACAAGCACTGGAAATTCCCCCCAGGCAGCCTGCCTGCCCTCCTCTCTGTTCCCTCACAGGTGGGCATCCCAAAAATATGATGTGAACTTGAATAAAGTTAAATTGATTGATATCTGTTTTAATACACCTGTGTGTGTGTGTGTGTGTGTGTGTGTGTGTGTGTGTGTCTTGTTTAAGAAATCTCACATACCCATATCAATGAACCGGCCTCCCATGCTTTCTTCTGAAAGGCTTAGGTTTCACATTTAGCTCCTTAAGCCACTTCTCATTCATTTTTTTATGTAGCGTGAAGCAGGGATCACATGATATAGGATACATATTTTATGTTCCATTTTTGATGATTATCACAAGGCTGGCAGTTCAAACTTGCCAGCCACTCCATGGAGGAAAAGGGGAAGCTTTCTGCTCCCATCAACATTTGTAGCGTGGAAACCGTAAGGAGAAGTTCACTGCTCTATGGTTTTGCTATGAGATCAAACTGACTTGACAGCAGTGGTGTATCTTACTGGATAACCATAAAGCGCATTTAGGCCATATGGTTTTAACTATCTAACACAACTGGGCCTATCAGTTGTTTAATACTGAGTGTAATGCCATTGGTGTGTCTTATTGAATACCAAATGCCCTTTATGCCAAGGGCATCCATCTGTTCGTAACCCAACCAAACAGTTGTCACTGAGTCAATTCTGTTGAACAGAAACCCCATGTGTGACAGTAAAACTATGTTCTATGGGGTTTTCAATGGCTGCAA